CGTTGCAGGGTGCTGGAGGGGGTGGCTGGCCCGGGGCATTGCCGGAGGCACGTATCAGGCGGAGACAGATGGAAGAGGTGACAGATAAGGGACTCAGCCCAGAGAAGAAACAGGAGAGATAAGACCCAAAGGCACTGCCCCGCAGAGCAAGGAGGCTCAAAACCAGACCCAGCAGAGCTGGATTTAGATCCCGTAATGCCAGCTGGGTGCCTGCTGCCTACCTAAACCTCTCCTTGCCGAGGGCAGAGGGTAAGGAAACCTCTGATGTTGAACTGCAGATACTTAGGTGGTGTGGTGGGGTTTCTGTCTGGCTCTAGAAACAGCTGACAACTGCTGCCATCCTGGAGAGGCTGCAACCCTTCACTTGAGAATGGCTGACATGGGGAAGAGTCACCCCTGTGGGATGATGAGAAAACCCCAAGATAGGCACCATCCTATTGCCTGTAAGACCTGCAGCACAAACAGCTCTGCTGGGATCCCCAGGAGAGTCCCTGCTATGCCACTGCCATAGAAGACCTACAGGCAGCACTTTTATGTAACCCCCTGAAGCACTCTCACCTCATGCCAGTGCCCTGCTTGGCCCCACGTAGCAGCAGACAGAGTTCAGCCACAGGGGAGGAGCAGGGTCAGACATGGACAACACCACATGGCAATGTCAGCAGCACTGCTAGGAGTCAGGCTGGATGTTACCACTCTGCGGGACCACAGCTCCTATGTGCTGCTTTGCATGGGGAGGGGATATTTCACTGCAAAATGTCCCTTGCAGGGAGATGTGGACTAGCTGCAAGGGAGGTGAGAACCAGGAGGGCCAGACTCACTCAAAGCAGCTGGCACTGGCAGGAGGTGGGCAGAGGTGACACTTTTCCAGGGCAACGGGGTGACCAGGGTCTGACATTCTGGGTTGTGGCTTTGCCCCATTCCTCAGGAGTCCAATCACACCTTGGAGCGCAGGTTTGGGGCTTGCAAGTTGTCTGTGCTCCTCAGACAGGGAAGTCCTGCTCCTTGGATTTTACCTCTGGTGCTTTCTCCTTTTGAGCTTTTGACCTCTATTTGTCTCTTCTGCAACGACAGGAACCCACAGAGTTAAAGTCTCAGGACTACCAGATTTGGGAATGCAGCATGGTGTCCTAGCCTTCCCTAGCTGTGTCCCACGTGGGTGCTCCTGCTCTGCGCTTTGCAGTGCCTGCCCCTAGCTGAGGTTGGTGCAGGAATTGCGAGTGAGGAATTGGAGCCGCCATGCAGGGAGCTGCTGTGGAATAGCTGCCATGCTTTACATTCACAGCCCATCTATTTTGCAATAACTTCACCATGATGTTCCCACGTAGACAAGCCTAAGCTAGCATAGATAATGAAATGGGTTAAAGGAGACAGGCGGAGGGAGAGGAGAGGAGCCAGCAACTGGTAGTAAATCAGGGAGAGAACAGGGTTACTTTAAATTCAAGGTCTTGGTGGCAGGGTGAGTTTGGTTTATGCCGAGAGGCACAGAGTTTAAAGGATGAGATGCAGTTGGGGAAGACAGAAGTGTCTCCTTGGAGGGGCCACCAACCTGTGTCCCCCATCACCCCCTATGTTGCTCCTCCTCGTCCCCCTGTGCCTGCTCCATGGGTGTGGGATTAAATCACTGGGATTAAGCATAGCCAAGAGCACCCATTCTGGGTGGTAAAGAGTAATCAGAGAATCCTGAAGGAGCTGCCAGCCTGGCAGGGCAGGCAGTGGGCTCTGCTCCACAGGGGAAAGGTCTTGCAAGTCCCCATCAGCTCATGGTCAGGGCCTGGGGGACCCAGCCGCCAAGACTTTGGCACGGGTATCGAGGCAGTCCAAACAAGCTAATTAAATCCTGCTCTGCTTAATCAGAGCCATTGAGCACCAGTCAGAAGAAATTAATCCCATGTTTTATTAGATGCTGTTTGAAGTCGCGTTTGGCACCTCATCCTCGGTTCTCATCTCCTTCTGGGGAAGGAAGAAGGACATCTGCGGGGAAGAGCGAGGGTGCAGCAGATGGCAACGGGGATGATTCAGGGGCTTGAGGAAGGAGCTGTGACTCCAGTGGCATCCCTGGGGGGGGGACAAGACACCTCTCGCTGCATCCCACAGCCCACCCCCTCCCCATGGCTGAGAGTCTGTGAGCCAGGCAGGCATCCCAAAAATACGTGTTCCTCTGCATTGCATGCTAATGGCTCTGCACGATAGGTCCCACCGCAATTAAAGCACACAGAGCATTAATATGCAACATGGAGAGGCCACTCTTCCCACAGCTACTCCCTCCCAAACCTGTCCTTCCTGCTGCACATCCCTGCCCAGTGGGAGCCTGCCCACGGGGATCCCACAGCAGTCCCAGCAGAGCTGCTGGCAGCACACAGTGAATTTGAGCCTTCCCCTCGCTATGCCCAGGGGATGCTGCCTTTTTCCCCTGGCACCCGGCACCTTCTGCCTTCAGGATCAGCAGAGCAGGGTCTGTTGGGTACCTGGCTGTGGGTGGGTGCTTTGCAATGCGGCCCTGGCATGGGAGACGCCCTGGCAGCTGGGAGAAATCCACAGGCAAGTGGTTAAAACAACCAGCTGGGCACTTGGTTTGGGGTTTTTAATGACTTCTGGTGCCTTAATTAGGGCAACCCAGGAAAAACTCCTGATGAAGAGAAAGTCTGGCCAAGTAAGGTAGCTCACAAGTTGCCCTCCAAGCCTTGGGAGTGCTCGGTAGCCTTGGTACATCCTGCTGCGACTTGGCTAGACAGAGCTGCTAGCTTTGGGTGTGAGGATTTATTTTTTTCCTAAATTTCCTGTCATAACTTGCATTAAAACTTTGCAGAGCCATTTAATTGCGTTCTGTGGTGGTGATGATATGAAATTAGTCTCCCTTCTGATCTTTAGCTAAGTTGGTCCAAAGCACTGGCTCATAATTTGCTCTAATCATCAGGTCGCAGAAGATGCGAAGGCAGGGCTGGTACCCGGTGAATTCACACGGGCCAGGAGTTTCCGCCCTTGCCGTGCTGGCATTTGGCAGCTGGCAGGTCAGGCTCTGCCGCCCTGGGATGGCAATATTGATACTTTCTTTTTGTGCCACTAAGGGAAGTTTTTCATCAACTGCTCTTGGCCATTTCGTTTAGCAGCAGCCAAGAACTATTGCTGGATCAGGGGAAAGGAGGGAGAGCTGAGGTGGCTTCCCATACCCTAGGCTGCTCCCTCTGAATGTCTTGGAAACATCCTCCCCTTCTGGCTGGAGACTTGCTATCAGATGGTTGAAGGCAGGGATCCCATCTCCCGTTGCTTCATGTCCCAAACTATCTCAGGGTAGTGGCTGAGTTTTGTCTACTCACCTATCCCAGGACATCAATGAGTTAGAAGAAAACAAGCTCCCGATGAACAGGAGCAGGGCAGGGCAATATTCTGGGCACAGAGAGGCCCTTTTGCTGCCGAGGGCACGGCGCCCATCATTCCAGTGGCATTAGTGCTTTCCACCTCCACGCAAGAGGTACAGGATATCAGGGTATTATTTTTAACCAGGGATATTTAGTGGACCTCTCATGCGCTGCTGGAGGGTCAGATTTATCCCATAGCCTCAGTCCCATGGGACGCTCCTGGTTATTTTTGAACCCATCAGAGCAGCAGAGGAGCAGAGGGATGTGAAGGCTTGAGAGACACAAAGTCTGGGGTTTGTTGGGCCTGACCCTCTGGTCCATGCATGGAACAGAACACTCCTGCTTTGTCATCATCCCCCACCCTGCAAACCAAAACTCATATGAAGTCCCAGGTTCTCCCCTTCCACTGAGAGGATCTTGGACGCCTGGAAGTTCTGATCCCTTTCGACCTACCGCATTGCAAGGCTTTTTTTTTTTTTTTTTTATACCCCGTTCAATTCAAACCTGGCTGTGGAGCGAGTTTGGCCCTGCTCGGGCAGGTCCCAGTGGCCGTGAACATTCCCACGGGCGCCGCAGTGCTGCCGCCGCCGCAGGAGTCACTCCCACGCCCCGCGGCTCCCCACGCCGCCGCCCCAAGCCTCGCAGGGACCTGCTCAAACTCAAGATCTCCGATGTTTTGAGTGTAAACTCATGATTTTAGCAGCGGGTAACTCATCACACAACCCCTACCCAGCCCACAGCCGCCATCCCGGCTGGATTTTGTTCAGCACAGCCGTTTTGGAGGCGAAGGTGAGGCTGGGGCAGGGGGAAAAGAGATGTTTGGAGCATTTATTTTTGTGCTGCTCCAATATCTGTTCCCGTGGGCACTGCCACCCAAGCCTGGTTGGTTCGGTGGGCTCCTGGAGAAACACGGTAGGGCGAAGGGCACCAAGCTCTGACTCCTAACTTGGGGGTACCTTAGGACACAGCGTGGCTTTGCCAAGCCCCCGGCCAGAGGCAGAAGGGCTCCCCACAGCCCACCCTGCGGGACCCCGGCCCAAATCAGGGCGCCACCCAGCCCCAAGGGAATGGCTTTTAAGGGCGGCGAAGCAGAGAGGACCCGTGACCGGAGCTGGCAGCCAGGACAGGCCGGCCCGGGGCTCCGCTCAGGGCTCCGGGCGCGCCTAGCCCCGAGGTGACCGCCCGCAGCGCGGGGCTGGGGGTGCGCGGCGCCGGGCGGGACCCGCCGGGGCCGGGCCGGAGGGGGAGGAGGCGACCTGCCCAGCCCCCGGCCCCCTCCCGACGGGTCGGGTCCCGCCCGGCGCCGCGGAGCGGCAGCGCCCGCCCGGCCGCACCGGCGCGTCCCCCCCACCACCCCCCCACGGGCGGTTTCAAGTCCCCCCTTCCGAGGTCTCCGCGGCGCCCAGCCAATCAGCGCGCGCTGCGCGCCGCGTCCCGCCGCCTTAAAGCGCCCCGGCGCCGCTCCGCGCTGGGGCAGTGGCGTCACCGGCGGGCCAAGCCAGGCGGGCTTTAGGACCGCGGCGCCGCCCGCCCTCCCCGCCGCGGGAGGCCTCCCGCCGCCTCCGGAGCGGGGCGTGTCGCGGGGCGGCCCCGCCCCGGCCGGGCGGCGATTGGCGGGCGGGAGCGCCCGTCGGCGGCGGGGGCGGCGCCCGGCGCGGCCACGTTCGGGTGCGCGGCCAGCGGCGCGTTGGGCGCAGCGAGCGGCGGCGGGCGCGGGGCGATGGGGGCGCGGCGGCGGCCGGCGCTCTGACAGCCCCCGGCGCTCCCTCGGCGGCGGGCGCAGCGGCTTCGGCGGCGGCAGCAGCAGCGGCGGCGGCTCGCGGCGGCCGCCCCTATCCTGCTCGGCGCGGACCATGTTCGCCAAAGGGAAGGGCTCGGCGGTGCCCTCGGACGGGCAGGCGCGGGAGAAGTAAGCGCGGCGGCGGGGGCGGCGGGGGGAGCGGGGCGGCGGCGGCGGCGGGGTGGCTTTGTGCGGGGCGGGAGCGGGGCGCCTCCTCCTCCTCCCCTGACCCGCCGCTCGGCTGTTGCAGGCTGGCGCTGTACGTCTACGAGTACCTGCTGCACGTCGGCGCCCAGAAGTCTGCGCAGACCTTCCTGTCCGAGGTGAGCCCCGCCGCCCCCCGCGCCCTTTGTGCGCCGCCGCACGCCCGCCCTCCATCTTGCGCGGGGCGGCGGCGGCGCCGGGGGGTCGCCGCGCGTGGGGGGCCCACGCCCACCCGCGACCACCCCCTACCTACACCGCCCCCCCACTCAACCCACCCACCCACCTTTCCCCCCCGCGCCTTCCTCTCTCCCGCAGATCCGGTGGGAGAAGAACATCACGCTGGGCGAGCCCCCCGGCTTCCTGCACTCCTGGTGGTGGTAAGTGCGGGGGGGCCGGTGCGGGTGCCCCGTCGCGGGTGGGAGCGGCCCGCGGGGGTCGGGGGCTGCCCGCTGGGGGCGCGGGGCCCCGCGGGGTGAAGCCCCGGCGATGGCGTGAGTCAGCAGCACAGCGGTGGCTCGGCGAGCCCCGAACCGCCCCGGCTCCCGCTCCCCGCGGGGCGTCGAGGCGCGGCGGAGCCACCCCCGGCCCCGCGGGAGCGGCGGGCAGGGCTCCCGCTGGAGAGCTGCCGGGCCAGCCGCAGGGACCGCGCTGTGCCGGTGCCACTGGGACGCCTGGGGGAGCAGGGCTGGGCAGCAGCGCTGCTGAGAGCGTGGGAGAAGTCCCTGAAGTCTCACGGGGGTTAGCCCTTCGAGGAGTTGCTCCTTCAAGGTGTTATCTCTTAGAGGCTACTTTTGCTTCTTAAAACGCCCAGCATCCCCCATGCTGACGGTCGGGTCTGAGCAGTGTGGAGTTGAGATGTACAGCTGGGTCCGGCTGAGGTCCCATCCCAACTGCGGGCCCCGTGGGGTGGGAAGCCACTCACCCCCGCTGACCCCCTACCCGTGTGCCTGATCCCTGATGAGTAACTGCTCCTATCCTGGCTCTCTCCGCCACGCAGCGTGTTTTGGGACCTGTACTGCGCAGCTCCCGAAAGGCGAGACACTTGTGAACATTCGAGTGAAGCCAAAGCCTTTCATGACTACGTGAGTAACAAGTTTCTAATCCTCGCGGTAATTATGGCGTTGGGGAGCTCCAGCGCACTGAGCGCCAACCTAATGTAACTGACTGGCAAAAAGTATGGGTTTTTTTTAACCAGCAGTGCTCTGATTTGACTGAACAGTATTTCATAACGTTGCAATTATGTAAATGAGCTCAGATACTTATCTTAAGCACTTAAAGGCATTCGGGTAGTGGTAGAATTAAGAAGTTTTGCCTAGCATTGGACAACAAAGCGTTTATAGGGGGTCAGTGGTGGGATTCATGCTGAGGACACCTCAGTGGTGAGATGTTTCATGCTGAGGTCACCTCACAGGCTGGGTGGGGGTTGGATTTTGGTGGGGAGGAGCAGGGGGATTCCCCAAACTGCTGTTGAATGCCCCAGTTAATATCTCCCTGCCTCTGGCAAGGCTAGGGGCTTCCTTGGTTGTCTGAGTCCTCCTTTAATCCCAGCAGGGTAGAGGTGTTGGCTTGGATGTAGGTGGGGTTGCAGACCCCCTTGGTTGATTGTTGTGCGTGTTGGCTCTCTCTTTTGGGTTGTTCTCTGCAGAGGTGGAGCATGAGCCAGGGAGGGATGATGCTTCTGGGGTGGGATGGTGGAACTGAGGTGTCTCCCAGAAAGACACCCCTTGGCAAGGGTGCATGGCATGTCTGCTCCAGTGGGCGCTGGGTGGGCTGCCCACTCCCGTCCTGCACACGTTGCCCGCATCCACAGCGTCAGGAAGAATTTGCATCAAAGGATTAGTCACTTGGCTGTGGGCTTGGACCCCAGTCAAATGAGTTTAAACCTTGTACCAGGAGCTGGTTTTGTCTGCTCCGGGGAGACTATGGTATGGAAACCATTTTTCCTCCCTTCCCAAGTTTCTCGTTGCCTCAACATGCCTGGGTTGGGGTGTGCGGGTTTGCTGGCGAGCAGCTCTGGGCGAGTGTCTCGGGGACCTCCACGGCATTCCTGAGGCTGGTGCCCTGGTTCCCCTGTGGCGCGGGCAGTGCCAGGCTGCTGGAGAGCCTTGGCTGGCTGCTGAGGCGCCTTTCCTCTCTACTCATCCTGCTGGGTCATGGGGGACATGGATCTGGATATTTGCTAAGTGGGGTTTGTCCCTCTGTCCCTCCCCGTGGCCGTTCTCTGCACTGCTTGTTTTTACTGAGTCGGATTAAGATGGTGAACTTCTGAACTGAGGGTCAGAGCTGACCACCAGCAGCACATCCAGCAGTGCTTTGCTCTGTGTGAGTAGCTGCTCTCCTTCTAGGTGTTTTGGGCCAAATTCTGGGGTTTTGGGAAGCCTGGATGGGACAGCGGGCTCATCAGGAGCAAAGCAAAGGTAGATCTTTGAGCAGCAAAGCCACAGGTGAAGATGACATTAGCAAGCAAGTCATGGTAATGCTCCATTCACAGCAGCCTCCTCATCATGTCTGAGGATTTAGTGTATTTAGAGAAATTAATCTTTTTTTAGCTTGGTAATAATTCTAACAATAGGCCTGAGTGCATTAGATGATTCGCATAAACTTCTTTAATACACGTTGCTTTAAGCTCACGGTAAATAGACACAATCCTGATTGTTTTTAATTCTCGATGTAATGCAGTTTTGTAACAGCCTCAAGTGCTTTACCTTTTGGGCTTTACCACAAAGAATTCTAAGAAGATTTTCACTCCCCTGTTCCTTGGCTTGGTGGCACTAGGTTGGTTTCCCAGGCATGTTTTGACCACAAGACAAGGGTTGTGCTTCTCTTCCCTGGCGTGGCCGGTGGTGGATGCTCATGGCACAGTCCCTCTCTGAGGAGCGGTGTTTTCCCGGCACAGCGTGTACTTTAGAGGGCGAGGGACATACCTGTCCAAAACTTAAATATTGACCAAAGAACCAAACGATAACCGTGGGAGTGTGAATAGCGCCTTGTTTCCCTTCAGCTTCCAGGGCAGGCTGCTTTTCCTGGTGAGCATGGTGGCTGGCCTTGCCGATGGTTGCTGGGGCTGGAATGCTGATCTTTATCAAGCTCCAAACCCAGCAACTCATCAGTGGTGCATGACAGCTGAAATGGGATATGAGTCCCAAATGGGGTTGGATCAGCAAGTCGTGAATCACTTCATGTGGTGGTTGTGTTTAAAAATATCCTAGTATAAGTCTTGCCACAGATTGGTAGAGTGTTGTATCTACACTTGGCCAAGGATGGGGAAACTCCATGTGCCCAGCTTGGTGTTTGCACAAAATACAGTGTTTATGTACCCCAAGATGATGTATTTACCATGGTGCTCTTAAGTACAGAAGGAGGGTATGCTCTGGGAGCCGGTCTGGTATGTCACCCTCCCAGACCCAGCACTGTTAGGGGTACTTGCCTGGGAGATACATCAGCAGGCCTTGTTAGCTAATGGTGGGATTTGCATCATTTCCACTTCATATTCCAGCATAACCGTATGAAAACTATTAGGAGCAGTAGGAGAAATTGCTAATTTCCCCCTTCAGTTTTGAATATTTAAATCTTTAGCAAGAAAATAAAGTAGGGAGAAATCCTACCACTCTTTTTTTGAGAGGACAGTTGAAAGCCATGGGCTCTTGTGACCGCTTAGGAATATTGCTTTTTACGTTTCCCCTGAGGTTTTTCTCCCAAGCTGGGACAAAAGCCTGCTGGAAGTTGGTAGAAGGATGCTTGTTGGGAGAAGAGTGATGGGAGCGGGGATTCACCTGGCACTGGCAGGAGGAATGCCGTGATTCTCTATCCTTCCATCTCTGGCAGGACTGTGTGTCTGTTAACACAACTATCGAGTTGTGTTGATTGGAGGGTTGTTAGGCAGCCTGTCCCACCTGTATCAAAAGAGTAGATCCAAGTTAACAGCACCACAAGCACCCCATCAACTGCTAAACCTCAACCTGTAGCCATTCATTTAGGCTCCTCCACTGGGCAAAGCCCCGTGGAGAGCACACCAGCATTACGGCACGCTCCCGGAGCCGGCAAGCTTGCAACGGGATCGCTCGGCATGACAGGGGATTTCAGCCGCCGCGTTATCTGGGAATTGGCCGATGGCTGGTCGCAGTTGAGCATTTCAACGCCGTGAAAGCCAATACAATTTGAGTTAGCGGTGATGACTGCCAGTTTAAATACCGCAGTGAATTTCTGTCAAAGAGCTAATACATAGAAAGGGGAATTGCAGAAAACTTGATCACCAGAACCACTTCAGTCGATTTTGGCCTCGAGCTACAGAAAATGAACTTAAATCTAGTTGACTGTTGCTACATACTTTTTGTGGTATTGCTCTGCCTGCATGGCCAGTTCAGAGCGTCAACACGCAGGAGAGAAAAATCAGGGTACGCTTTGGCTGACGAAGACTTTGACTTCATCTTTCCCTTCTTCTGTTCCCTCCAGTTCCCTCCTGAGAAGGACCTGCACTTGGGAGCATTTGAAATGCTGTTTACTTTGCAGCGCAAGATCTGCGGAGCTGTGGCTTCAACTTGCCATTAATGCAAAGCATTGATTTATTTATTTTTGTTTTTAACTTTGGAAAGCTGCTGCAGTTCTTTCTAACTCAGGTCTGGAAGGATGCTCTGCGGCAGTGGGGGCAGAAGCTGCTGGAAAGGTGGTGGTTGATATGGGAGAAGATGTGTTTGGGGGTCATGTCCTCCCATCTTGCTTGGGTGCAACCAGGGCTCCTCCCTTTTTCCCCCATCTGAAATAGTTCCCCTTGGATTGAGATTTCTGAAGCCTGTGGAGATGGATGGAGCATCCAGGCTTGCTGGTGTTGGTGTGCAAAACTGCTCAGTGGGGAATGAGATAAAACCCAAGGGATTTGGAAGGGGTTTGGCCTGCAGGCAGTACAGACTGGTGAGTGTCCCCCAGGCACTAGAGTTTGAACCTCAAACCCAGTTGTTTCCCCTGATGTAAGTGCCCTTCCAGCCACACTTCAGGAGCATGGGAAGTAGTCCTTTTCTGCTGGATCTGCCCATCACACCCCAGCTGGCTGTAGGATAGGCACCGTGTCCCAGCATCACTGCCTGGGTGTTCCTGGGCTGCAAGGGAGCTTTCATGTGGTAGTTGTGGTTAAAAATATCTCAGTGTAAGTCTTGCCTCAGATTGGTAGAGCATTATATTTACACTTGGCCGACAGTGGGCAAACTCCGTGTGCCCAGCTTGGTGTTTGCCCAAAATATGGTGTTTATGTGACAGCACTTTATTGTCACAGCAACTTCTGCTCTCCAGGGTCTGTGTGGCCATCTCATGGCGTGGCACCTTGGCAGGTGAGATGGCTGTGTGGGAGGAGATGCTCTTCATGGATGATTGGGTTTGGCGTTAATTTCTCCTCTCCCATGCGAGGCTCTCTTCTTGCTCCAGGAGCAGTGAAGGCTGTGAGACCCTTGCTCACGGCATCCACAGCTGTGTGAGGTGGGACCAGCAAGTGTGATAGTGTTGGGGTCCAGGAGTAGATCTGTAGTGGTGGTCCATGAGATCTCCTTCTGTGGTGTGCAGCCATAGTGTTGAAAACATGTTGCCTAGGAGTGCAGGTGTTTTGGGGGCAGGTTTGGCACAACGCAGGGGCAGGGGTTGGGAACAGCTTTGTGTGGTCCCCATGAGCCCCCACGCGTGTTGCCTGAGCCTTGGGCATGTGGCTCAGCCAGCAGCACACACAGGTCTGTCCTGTTTCCACGCAGAACTGTGCTCTGTCTGGGCTCCATCCAGCTCCACTCTGCAGGGACAAGGCTCCCTGGTAGGTAACCAGAGGAGAGGAGTTTCCTTCAGGAGTGGCAAGCTGCCAGGAGCAGCTGCAAAACTCCACATCGCTTAAAAAAAAAAATTACAACAAAAATAAATAAATCCAGATATTCCCTCTCCCGGCATGGCTGGGCTCAGGCTTCCCTCCCAGCTTAGGGTACCAGTGAGCCTGGGTGTCCCTTGAACCCTGCTCTTGCTGGAGTGCCATGTGAAGCTGGATTAGTTTAATTTTATATTTTAAACAATTTTGGCTGTCGCAACAGACCAGCCTCCTCTGCCGCTTCCTGCT